GTCTTATGTCTTTGGGGAGGGTGTTCCAAAGTCGGGGGGGCACCACAGAGAAGGCCCTGTCCCTCGTCCCCACCAAACGCGCCTGTGATGCAAATGGGATCGTGAGCAGGGCCTCTCCGGATGAACGAAGAGAGCGCGTGGGTTCATAAACGGAGATACGGTCATGCAGGTAGGCAGGTCCCAAACCGTTTAGGGCTTTGTAAGTAAGCACCTGCACCTTGAATTGGGCTCGGAAAATAAACGGCAGCCAGTGGAGCTCCTTAAACAGGAGGGTTGACCTCTCTCTGTAAGGAGCCCCAGTTAACATCCTGGCCGCTGCCCGTTGGACTAGTTGGAATTTCCGAGCCGTATTCAAGGGCAGCCCTACGTAGAGTGCATTACAATAGTCCAGTCTAGAGGTGACCAAGGCATGGACCACCCCGGCAGTGTGGACTCAGATAACCCACTTCAAAGCAGATATTGTGGATTATCTGCCTTGAAGGAAGAATGGAAGAAAAAGAAAATGAAGGGGGAAAGGTATGAAAAAAGGGATCACCAATCCACACTGCACCTGAGGAACACATTCGGGGCAACCAATGGGTTTTATTTAAGACTAGACGTCCTCTGCCATGTTTTGCTGTGGCCCAGTCCATATACAGGGGTGGCTCAACCCATTACGCAAAGTAAGCATTGGCAGTATAGTTGATTTTGCCCAGGGGCGCTCTTGAGGCGCTCTTAGGGAAAAATAGACCTTGACATATGCGAGTTGTAGTTGCTGGGATGTATAGTTCACCTACAATCAAAGAGCATTCTGAACTCCACCAATGATGGAATTGAACCAAATATGGCACACAGAACTCCCACGACGAACAGAAAATATATATCAGTGATTGGTTTGGAGGGGGGGAGGGGACCAAAATACTGTTTGCTTACTGTTGAAAATTACCTAGGGCCGCCTCTGTCCATATATGTGTGTGTTTTGTGTATATATTTGTGTATATGTGTGTTTGCATGTATGTGTGTGTGTGGTTTTGTGCAAGTATTTTTTTGTTTTTAGCTTTTTAAGTCTCTTCTGCTGTGTTTTTCAGTGTTTTTATGAGTGATGGTCATTCGTTGGACTGATACGTGTATTGTGTCCAAATTTGGTGTCAATTTGTCCAGTGGTTTTTCAGTTATGTGAACATTACATTTTTATTTACATAGACTAGCTGTCCCCTGCCATGCGTTGCTGTGGCCCAGTCTGGTGATCTCAAAACTAAAGTAATGAGAAAGTGTTGGTTTCTAATATATGTAATTTCTTTATGCTTGTGGGTAAACAGTACTTCTTGTTGATTCTTTGTCAGCGTTGATGTACAGATTGCCTGGTTTGCCTACTCTGGAACATGTAACATATAATTGTCCTTCTTTAGGAGTCCCATTCAAATCTATGATATTATATATACATATACCGTGTGTGTGTGTGTGAGAGAGAGAGAGAGAGAGAGAATCATATCTCTCTGTCTATCTATCTATCTATCTATCTATCTATCTATCTATCTGGCTGGATGGCTCTTTGTCAGGAGGGCTTTGATTATGTTTTCCTGCCCTGGTGGAGTTGGATTGGATGGCCTTCTGGCAGCATTTCTCCGCCTGGGGGTTAGGACCCCCGGAGGGGGGGGGGGTCATGATGGGGTGTCAGAAGGGTCGCCAAAGACCACCAGAAAAAAGTGTTATCTGTTGGTCATGGGAGTTCTGTGTGGGAGGTTTGGCCCCATTCTATCGTTGGTGGGGTTCAGAATGCTCTTTGATTGTAGGTGAACTATAAATCCCAGTAACAACTCCCAAATGTCAAGGTCTATTTTCCCCAAACTCCAACAGTGTTCACATTTCGGTATATTGAGTATTCGTGCCAAGTTTGGTCCAGATCCATAATTGTTTGAGTCCATAGTTCTCTCTGGATGTAGGTGAACTACAACTCCCAAACTCAAGGTCAATGTCCACCAAACCCTTCCAGAATTTTTTGTTGATTATGGGAGTCCTGTGTGCCAAGTTTGGTTCAATTCCATCGTTGGTGGAGTTCAGAATGCTCTTTGATTGTAGGTGAACTGTAAATCCCAGCAACTACAACTCCCAACTGACAAAATCCATGTTTTTTTAAGTGATGGGCATTCCTTGGGATAGTAGGTGTATTGTGTCCAACTATAATGGCAATTCATCCAGTGGTTTTGGAGTTATGTTAATCCCACAAATAAACATTACATTATATATATATATATATATATATATATATATATATATATATATTACAGTATTTATAGCACAAGATACCATTTGAAGTCTTGTAATTTTGTATTGCTTCGGGAGCCTTTCTGGGCAGAAAGTAGTCTAGCAACCTTGCCAATAGATAAAGATATGCCAGGATGGTGAAACAAGCAAGTCACACACTCTCGGCCCCAGGAAAACCCATAACAGGGTCTCCACAAATTGGAAATGCCTTGAAGACATATGACAACAAAATCCTACATTTGCTAAGCAAGAGGAAGGTGTCTCAAGCAGCCATTGATGAGTCTATTTGGCCTTTTAGCCTCAAGGTTACATCAGATACAGCATCCATACATTCATCTCCCTCCCCTTGCCTTGCTGAAACTGAGTGCTCCCAAAGCAACATGTGTCACCTTGCCCTTATGGCTCAGGAATAGCAGTTTGCAGGAATGTGAAGCATTCCAATTCCTATGGCTCTGTTTTCTGGATAACCCAAGCCACCCTTTGCTGGGAATCAAGGGCTGGAGCACCACATTAATCCAGTGCGGATCCTTGAAAAAAGCACTCTAGTAGAACTGGGAGCCCATTTCCATGGCAAGCTTTCAAGCAAAGACAGATGGGCATTCAAATCTCCATGCAATCTTGGGAGAGAAGGGAAGAAGGAGACAGACAGACAGACAGACAGACAGACAGACAGAAAGAAAGAAAGAAAGAAAGAAAGAGGAAAAGGAGGAAAAGAAAGAAAAAGGAAGGAAGGAAGGAAGGAAGGAAGGAAGGAAGGCAGGCAGGCAGGCAGGCAGGCAGGCAGGAAGGAGGAGAAGGAGAGGAAGGAAGAAAAGGAAAAGAAAGAAAAAAGGAAGGAAGGAAAGAAGGAAGGAAGGGGGAGGAATGAAAAGAAGAGAAGGAAAGAAGCAAGGAATGAGAAAAGGAGGGAAAGAAAAAAGAAAGAAAAAAGAATGGAGGGGAGAGATGGAAGGAGGTAAAGAAAGAAAGAAAGAAACGAGAACAAGAGGAGGAGGAGGGAGGAAGGAGAGAGGAAGGAGGAGAAGGAAGGAAAAAGGGAAGGAAGGAGAAAAGGTGGAAAAGAAAGAAGAAAGAATAAAAGAAAGAAAGAAAAAAAGAAAAGAAGGAAGGAGAACGAAAGGAAGGGGGAGGGAGGGAGAAAGGAGAGAGGAAGAAGAGGGGGGAGGAAGGAAGGAATGAAGGAAGGAAAAGGGGAAAGAAAGAAAAGGAAGAAAGGAAGGAGAAAGAGAGGAGGAGAGAAGAAAAGAAAGAAAGAAAAGAAGAGAGGAGGAGGAGAAGGAAGGAAGAAAAGAAGGAGATGGAGGGAGGAAGAAAAGAAAAAAAGAAAGTAAGTAGAACGAAAAGAGGAGAAGGAAGGAAGGAGAAAAGGAGGGAACGAAAGAAGATAAAGAGAAAGAAAGGTGGAGGAAGAGGGAAGAAGGAGAAAAGAAGGGGAGGGAAGAAAGAAAGAAAGGAAGGAAGAGAAAGAGAAAGGAGGGAAGGAAGGAAGGAAGGAAGGAAGGAAGGAAGGAAGGAAGGAAGGAAGGAAGGAAGGAAGGAAGGAAGGAAGGAAGGAAGGAGAGATGAAGAGGTTGGAAGGGAGAACAAAGAAAGGAAGGTAAAGAAAGGAGAGAGAGCAAAAAGAAAGAAAGAAAGAAAGAAAGAAAGAAAGAAAGAAAGAAAGAAAGAGGGAGAGAGGGATGAGACACACCCCTATTTGCAGATCCCACACATTTCCTCTGCTCCCCAAATCTATTCCGGCCCAACATTAATTTCATAACGGAAATAGTAATCCACATTTCTATCAAGCAAGAAGGACAGGTGGAGATTTTAGAAAGATTGGGGGGGGGGGGTATTCATTGTTGAATGCATTCAAACCGCATTCATTGTAGAATTAATGCAGTTTGACACCCCTTTAACCACTATGGTCTAATGCTATGGAATCCTGAGATCTGTAGTTTGTGGCGACACCAGCCCTCTTTGGCAGAGGAGGCTAAGTTTACCTTGGGAAACTACAACTCCAGGGAGCCCATAGCATTGACCCATGCCATTTAAAGTGCTGCCAAACTACTATCTCACCAGACTACACCTAACCCTGGCAGGTCAAGTGAGGTCAAACTGCATCAACTCTATAGTGTGGATGCAAACTCCAGGCCCTCTTCCATTCCCGCTTGCTTTGCTCTTGCAGGAACTGGGACACATTTGGATGATGCATGAAAGGGAAAGCAAGAGAGCCAAGCTGAGAAAGGCCCAGAGGGCAAATAAGCAGAGGCCTTTAGAAAAAGAACACAAAAGCCCAGCACTCTGTCCTTATCTCCCACAAAGCAGCCGAGAGGGAGCTGAATCAATACCTCCAGGGCTTTGATCCTCCAAATCTCCAAACTGGCATTCCCACAAAGACATATTACATATGTCTGCAGCACAATAGGAAACACATGGGAAGGCAGAGAGTACTTAGAAAGGTGTGCTTCACATCCTGCATTTTATTCCAAGTTTTCATAGGATTCCTGATCTATATGTCAGAGATATGGCTGGAAATCCTTGCAGGGGATTTTTGCTTTGCCAAGGCGAAAAGGTGCAGGGATTTCTCATGTATTCCTTGGCAAGAAGTCCAATCCAAAGGGGGAAAACGGAGCTAGCCACGTCCAAACGCCTATAAGTTTGGTTCTCTTGCAGTTCGAAACAGAAAAACTCCATAAGCAACCACAGAGTGCCTGTTTCCAGGCTCCAAAAAAAACCACACCATTAAACACACCAAGTGAGAAGGGCCTTCTTACCTTTCTTGATCACGGACTGGTCCAAGAGGCTCATGCCAGTTTCATCCATGGCCTAAAAAGAATAAAATGGGGAAAATTAGGAAATCTGGTCTGCACTGCATGGTTGTTTTTCCGCGGCCTTGCTGCAACTGTGCAAAGTGTGAAAATTAGCACTACAGATAAGGTAAATGGAGTATGGCCTACTGAGATTGTCCTACTTGGGTGCTTTTTACACCCTGTGAATAACAATAACAATAACACTAATAATGTGAGCAGAGTATGAAAAGAACCCCAATAATAGGATGATTTCAAAAGCTGTACACAATTGTTGTTGTTGTTGGAATATAGCTTACTGAAATTATCCTACTTGGTGCTTTTCGCTTACTGAAATTATCCTACTTGGTGCTTTTCACACAGTCAATAATAATAATAATAATAATAATAACAATAATATGAGCAGAGGATGAAAAGAACCCCAATAACAGGATAATTTAAAAAGCTGTACACAATTGTTGTTGTTGTTGGAATATAGCTTACTGAAATTATCCTACTTAGTGCTTTTCACACTGTCAATAATAATTTCAAAAGCTGTACACAATTGTTGTTGTTGTTGGAATACAGCTTACTGAAATTATCCTACTTGGTGCTTTTCACACAGTCAATAATAATAATAATAATAATAATAATAATAATAATAATAGCAGAGGATGAAAAGAACCCCAAGTAAGATACATTTCAAAAGCTGTACTCCATTATTATTGTTGTTATTATTGTTGGAATATAGCTTACTGAAATTATCCTACTTGGTGCTTTTCATACTGTCAATAATAATAATAATAATAATAATAATAATAATAATAATAATATGAGCAGAGGAGCCCCCGGTGGCGCCGTGGGTTAAACACTGAATCCGCATTATCTGGTTCGAATTGATAGACTCAGGGCCCTTCCACACAGCCATATAACCCAGAATATCAAGGCTGAAAATCCCACCACATCAGGCCCGTAGCCAGGATTTTGTTTGGGGGGGGGGGAGCTGAGTTTGATTGGGGGGGGGAGGGGCTGAGTCTGAGTGAAAGAGGGTCTACCCTAGCAAACCTTTTGTATCATTGCCCCAATACCCCCATGCATATGGGATATATTGAGTATGGTGATCAGATCATGATATGAATAAACATAACCGTTTAAATAATGCACCAGTAAGGCCTTCTTGCGGACCACCATGAGAATTTCGGGGGGGGGGGGCTGAAGCCCCTCAAGCCCCCCCTCTCCCCACTACATGCCTACACCACATCTGCTTTGAACTGGGTTATCTGAGTCCACACTGCCATATATTCCAGTTGAGTCTACACTGCCCTATAATCCAGTTTCTGAATCTGAAGTGAGCTTCTGGCCATTTGTGTAGCTTGCTGTTGACCTTTGCAGCCCGAAAGACAATTGCATTTATCAAGTAGGACATTTAGGTATCGCTTATGCTAATTTAAGACGCCATAAAATCTCCAGCAAGCGTGCAAAAGAAGGAGGAAGTACTCCATCAGTGTCACAAGTGGATGGTGAAGTGACAGCTCCCCTGGTGGCCAGAATACCCTCATGAAAAAGCTGGAATATTAAGTAGCCTCTGTGTGACTGTCTATATATGTTGTGTGTCTATGGCATTCAATGTTTGCCGTGTAAATGTACATTGTAATCCGCCCTGAGTCCCCTGCAGGGTGAGAAGGGCGGAATATAAATATTGTAAATAATAATATAAATACTGTAAATAATAATTATTATTATCTGCTTCAAACTGGTAGACTCGGGGCCCTTCCACACAGCCATATAACCCAGGATATCAAGGAGAGAAAAAATCCCACCACATCTGCTTTGAACTGGGTTATCTGAGTCCACACTGCCATATATTACGGTTGAGTCTACACTGCCCTATAATCCAGTTTCTGAATCCGGATTAACTGCTTCGAACTGGAAGACTCAGGGCCCTTCCACACAGCATATAACCAGAATATCAAGGCAAACCCAGGATATCAAGGCAAAAAAATCCCACCACATCTGCTTTGAACTGGTTTATCTGAGTCCACACCGCCATATATTCCGGTTGAGTCTACACTGCCCTATACTCCAGTTTCTGAATCTGGATTATCTGCTTCGAACTGGTAGACTCAGGGCCCTTCCACACAGCCACATACACAAGCCAGAAAATCCCACCACATCTGCTTTGAACTGGGTTGTCTGAGTCCACACTGCCATATATGCTGGTTGAGACTACTCTGCCCTATACTCAGGTTTCTGAATCCAGATTATCTGCTTGAAACTGGTAGACTCAGCCATATAACCCAGAATATCAAGGCAGAAAATCCCACCACATCTACTTTGAACTGGGTCCTCTGAGTCCACACTGCTATATATGCCGGTTGAGTCTACACTGTCCTATAATCCAGTTTCTGAATCCGGATTATCTGCTTCAAACTGATAGACGCAGGGCCCTTCCACACAGCCATATAACCCACAATATCAAGGCAGAAAATCCCACAACATCAGCTTTGAACTGGTTTATCTGAGTTCACACTGCCATATAGTCCAATTGAGTCTACACTGCATTATAATCCAGTTTCTGAATCCGGATTATTTTCTTCGAGATAGTAGACTCAGGCTCCTTCCACACAGCCATATAACCCAGAATATCAAGACAGAAAATCCCACATCTGCTTTGAACTGGGTTGTCTGAGTCCACACTGCCATATATGCTGGTTGAGTCTACTCTGCCCTATACTCCAGTTTCTGAATCTGGATTATCTGCTTGAAACTGGTAGACTCAGCCACATAACCTAGAATATCAAGGCAGAAAATCCCACCACATCAGCTTTGAACTGGGTTATCTGAGTCCACATTGCCATATATGTCGGTTGAGTCTACACTGCACTATAAACCAGTTTCTGAATCCGGATTATCTGCTTCAAACTGGTAAACTCGGGGGGGGGGGGGGGGCCCTCCCACACATATACACAGTCATATAACCCAGAATATCAAGCCAGAAAATCCCACCACATCTGCTTTGAACTGGGTTGTCTGAGTCCACACTGCCATATATGCCACTCGTTTCTGAATCCAGATTATCTGCTTGAAACTGGTAGACTCAGCCATATAACCCAGAATATCAAGGCAGAAAATCCCAATACATCTACTTTGAACTGGGTTCTCTGAGTCCACACTGCTATATGTGCGGGTTGAGTCTACACTGTCCTATAATCCAGTTTCTGACTCTGGATTATCTGCTTCAAACTGGTAGACTCTGGGCCAATCCACACAGACATATAACCCACAATATCAAGGCAGAAAATCCCGCCACATCTGCTTTGAACTGGGTTATCTGAGTCCACACCACCATATATTCCGGATCAAAGGTGGGATTTTATTCAGCTGTGTGGAAAGGGCCTCATACCATCTAGTAAGAAGCAGTGTAAAATCAGATACTGGATTATGTGGCAGTAGATCACAGCAGCTAAAGTGGTGCCAAACCGCATTAACTCTACAGTGCAGATGCACCCATCCCAAAAAAAACAAACAAACTAGAACAGGGTCTACTCACAAGCAAATACAGATTGAGGGGTTTCAGTGAGGATGGCAAAACATACCACACATAGAATCAGAGAGTTGGAAGAGACCTCATGGGCCATCCAGTCCAACCCCCTGCCAAGAAGCAGGAATATTGCATTCAAATCACCCCCGACAGATGGCCATCCAGCCTCTGTTTAAAAGCTTCCAAAGAAGGAGCCTCCACCACACTCCAGGGCAGAGAGTTCCACTGCTGAACGGCTCTCACAGTCAGGAAGTTCTTCCTCATGTTCAGATGGAAAGTTTTTGAAAAGTTTGTTGTTGTTGTTTATTGTTTGTTGTTGTTGTAAGTGCAGCCACTTACTTTTGGAAAATGAGCTTGGCTCAATGGAAAGAAAGGCGAGATTCGCTGCCTTTTTATCTTAATCCGAAGGGCTCAACCCGAATCGAAACCGAAACGAAACAGATCACTCCGGATGGAAATGAGGTGAAACAATTGGAAGGGAAAATCAGAAAAGCAGGGGGATCCATCCCTAAATGATCTCGAGGAAGGAAAAGGAGGGTTGCTGTGAGTTATAGCCATGTTCCAGAAGCATTCTCTCCTGACGTTTCGCCTGCATCTATGCCAGGGTTGTGAGGTCTGTTGGAAACTAGGAAAATGCGGTTTATATATCCCTGATGGGAGGAAAAACTCTTGTCTGTTCGAGGTAGCGGTGAATGTTTCAATTGACCACCTTGATTAGCAGAGATGTAGGCGAAACGTCAGGAGAGAATGCTTCTATCGCTATACAGCCCGGAAAACTCACAGCAACCCAGTGGATTCCGGCCATGAAAGCCTTCAAAAATACAAGGACGGTTTTGCAAGGAGAAAAGGAAAGGGAAAGGAAATGTTTTGGAAACGTGAAAAGTATTAGATTTGCTCCGGGTCAAAGAAAGCGAAGTTTACCATTTTTTGCCCCCAAAACTCCTTTGTTATCTCAAAAGTAATTCTTCCCATCGGAAAGACGGAAAGAAGCGATTTATACCCCCAAAATACGATTTCCCCCCCCCGCAAATTGAATTAAAACGAATTTATCACATTCGAGATTAAAACCTGGACAGAATTCGGTTTCGGAAGAAGGCGTTTCGTCTGAGCACGGAATAGAAACAACTCCCAAGGAATGGAAATACGTTGTTTTTCATTTTATGGGGCTTTTGGGGGAAGATTGAGATCCAAAAAGGCAAAGTAACGGGACGCGAGTAACGCTTTCCCCGCTCGTTACTTGTAACGAAAAGGAACGGGGAAATAGAAACAACTCCCAAGGAAGAGAAATGCGTTGTTTTTCATTTTATGGGGCTTTTGGGAGAAGATTGAGATCCAAAAAGGCAAAGTAACGGGACGCGAGTAACGGCTTTCCCCGCTCGTTACTTGTAACGAAAAGGAACGGGGAAAGAGGGTCTCCAGGAACTACACAAAGTTCGATTTTGGAGAGGTATTGTATCCTTCTCAAACTGAGCTGTATTTATTTGGGGGAGAACTATATAATGCACTGCCAATGGAGGTTATTATTTTTTTAACTATAATCATAATTATGATTACAGTATATAATAATTATAACTAATAATAATGACAATAATAATAATCTCAAGAGGGTGACCTCGCTAAAAACACATCTATAGAACACACACATTAAAACATATCCCTACAATATATATATATTAAAACACACAGAACAAAGATTAAATATGAGACAGCAAGAATTTATGGGCTTTGGGGAAAGATTGAGACCCTACTTCTATTATTAGTATTAGGATTATTACTACTACAACACCATAATAGCTATTTATGGTGTAGTGGTATATTTTATAATAATTTATTTTTCAGTGTTTTTATGAGTGACAGTGGCCAAACCTACCATCCCTCTTTCTTTCCTTTCTCTCCTTCCTTCCTTCCCTCTTTTTCTTTTCCTTCTTCTTTCTCTTTTTCTTTCTTCCTTCTCTACCTGTTTCTTTCCTCCCTTCCTTTGCTCTTTGGTTCCATCCTTCCTTCTCTCCTTCCTTCCCTCTCTTTTCTTCCTTCGTTCACTTTTTTATTTCCTTCCTTCCTTCCTTCCTTCCTTCCTTCCTTCCTTCACTACCTTTCTTTCCTTCTCTCCTTCTTTCCCTCTTTCTCTCCTTCCTTCCTTCTCTACCCTTCTTTCCTTCCTTCTCTCCTTCCCTCCTTCTTTTCTTCTCTCCCTCTTTCCCTCCCTTCTTCTCTCCTTCCTTCCCCTTTTCTGTGTATATGTGTTTTGTGTGTATATCATAGAATCACAGAATCAAAGAGTTGGAAGAGACCTCATGGGCCATCCAGTCCAACCCTGCCAAGAAGCAGGAATATTGCATTCAAATCACCCCTGACAGATGGCCATCCAGCCTCTGTTTAAAAGCTTCCAAAGAAGGAGCCTCCACCACACTCCAGGGCAGAGAGTTCCACTGCTGAACGGCTCTCACAGTCAGGACGTTCTTCCTAATCAGAAAACAAGTTTGTTCCCTCTTGCTTATGACTTCCTCTCACATATTTCATAGGATCATAGAGTTGGAAGAGACCTCTGTTTAAAAGCTTCCAAAGAAGGAGAATCCACCACACTCCGGGGCAGAGAGTTCCACTGCTGAACGGCTCTCACAGTCAGGAAGTTCTTCCTTATATATGAGTGTGTATATATTTGTGTATGTGTGTTTGTGTATATATGTGGTTTTGCACATACATTGTAATTGGGGTTTTTTTTTGCTTGTAAAGTCTCTTCTGTGTTTTTCAATGTTTTTATGAGTGATGAACACTCGTTGGCCTGAGTGTGTCCAAATTTTGTGTCAATCCGTCCAGTGGTTTTTAAGTTATGTTAATCCCACAAACAAACATTACATTTTTATTTATATAGATTTGCAGAGTGATTTATGTATTTATTTATTTATAGATGTGTGTCTGCCTCAAAAAACTTTGGGTGTAATTGCAGCCTGGTGAAATACCCCATTTACTCGAATTTAAAGCTAATTTTTGGGGCTAAATTCCCTCCTGAAAAGGTGGGTGAGCATTAGATTCGGGCAATGTGGTCATCTTAGGGCTGAGCCAAAGCCAAAGGGGGAGCTGCTTCAGGAGCTCCTCTTTGAGGGACCTCATCTCTCATTTCATGGCTCAATGCTATAGGATGCTGGGATTCGTAGTTTGGCTAGGCATTCACCTTCTTTGTCAGAGAAAACTGATCAAGGCCTTGTCAAAGTACAGCCCCTATGAGTTCTTAGCATTGAACCAAGGCAATTAAAGTGGATTTGTTTTGTTTCTGGGTTCTAAATGTCATTCCTTAATTGGTTCTATCATCAAAAAATGAGAAAAGTTTATTAAAATGCAAAAACTTTGTGCTATAGTTTTGTATGACCATCTCATCCAGTCTCAAGCAATGCAACATAGCTTGTGGCAGCCACAAAAATGAAGTTCCTAGAAGAGCACAACTACTTTCAAAGTAAGGACTGCACAATTAAACAGGAAATGACACTTTCAAACCAGAAACAGGCAACTTTTCAATTGTTGTGACATAGTATCATGGGAAAAGACGTAATATTCTTCAATGACAGGGGGTTTGATGGTATTTGCTTCCTTGTGGGACTATAATATTAGTAAAAAAAATAAATAATAATACATACAGACACTTGGACCTAATGTGCATGTGTGATGTTATGTACATGTAATAATAATAATAATAATAATAATAATAATAATAATAATAATAATAATAATAATGGATTGAAGAGAAACAACTGGACAAGCTGACATGATATGAGGATTTAAAGATTGAACTGCAAAGACTCTGGCACAAGTCAGTAAAGGTGGTCCCAGTGGTGATCGGCACACTGGGTGCAGTGCCTAAAGACCTTGGCCTGCACTTAAACACAATCAGCGCTGACAAAATTACCATCTGCCATCACCAATACATCACACAGTCCTAGACACTTGGGAAGTTTCCAAAGTGTGATCCAATACAACAGCCAACAGAGTGATCTTGTCTGCTGTGGACTCATCTTGTGTTTCTACTACTACTACTACTACTACTACTACTACTAATAATAATAATAATAATAATAATAGTAATAGTAATCGTGTTGAAGGGATAAGGAAGACACAGAGTGAAGTGTCACCAGGGACCCAGGAGGCATAAGAACATGATGATGATAGTGATGATGGCAATGATGATGATACGCACATTTGTATAACAACAACAACAACAACAACAACAACAACAACAACAATAATAGAACCCTTACTGAAGTGAGAAGACACAGGGAGAAGCATCACTTAGGGAGCCAGGAGCCCCTAGTGCTGCTGCTGCTGCTGATAATCATCATCATCATCATCATCATCATCATCATCATCATCATCATCATCATCGCATTTGAATAACAACAATAGAAGTAATGATGTTGAAGGGAGAAGGGAGAGACAAGGAGAAGAGTCAATCAGGGAGCCAGGAGCCATAAGAACATGATGATGATGACGATACATGCAGTTCATGTATCTTGGGGGGCTTCAGCCCCCCCCCCAAAAAAAATTCTCATGGTAGTCTGCGAGAAGGCCTTACTGGTACATTGTTTAAACTGTTATGTTTATTCATATCATGATCTGACCACCATGCTCAATATATCCCATATGCATGGGGGTATTGGGGTAACGATACAAAAGGTTTGCTAAGGTAGACCCTCTTTCACTCAGACTCAGCCCCCCCCCCCCAAAAAAAACCCCAAAAAACAAAATCCTGGCTACGGGCCTGATGCAGTTGAATAGTAATAATAATAGAACTAATTGTGCTGAAAGTGGTCTCAGTGGTGCTCGGCACACTGGGTGCAGTGCTTAAAGACCTTGGCCTGCACTTAAACATAATCAGCGCTGACAAAATGACCATCTGCCAGCTGCAGAAGGCCACCTTACTTGGATCTGCACGCATTATTCCCTGATACATCATACAGTCCTAGACATTTGGGAAGTGTCTGACGTGTGATCTAATACAACAGCCAGCAGAGTGATCTTGTTTGCTGTGGGCTCATCTTGTTGTGTTTCAAATAATGTTTTCAGGCCATATAGCCTGAAAAACCCACAACAACCCAGTGATTCCAGCCATGAAAGTCGTTGACAATACAAAGCAACGTCATATGGCTAAGCAATGTCAGCATTTGGTCAAGATGACAGAAATTATTAGTGAGGAAGAATAGTGAGAAAAGGGGCTGCAGCAGTTTGCTTTTGGCAGAGCCTACAGGGAATGTCTAGATTCACCTTCTCCGTTCACCGCATCTGTGGGTAAGCGGTTGAGCTGGAGAAAAGAAAGGCACCTGAGGATGGTAGGAATGGTGGGAGTTGAAGTCCAAGATACCTGGAGAGGCGGCCCTAGGTAATTTTCAACAGTAAGCAAACAGTATTTTGCCCCCCCCCCAACCAATCATTGATATATATTTTCTGTTCGTCGTGGGAGTTCTGTGTGCCATATTTGGTTCAATTCCATCATTGGAGGAGTTCGGAATGCTCTTTGATTGTAGGTGAACTATACATCCCAGTAACTACACTTGCCGCACTTGCTCCCTTGCCTGGCCCGCTTTGGGTCCGGAGGCGTGCCTGAAGACCCCGGCGTGTGCACCAAAAGTCACCTCTTCTCCTGACTTTCTCCTCAGCCATTGGGACCAAGAGAGAGAGAGAGAGAGGTGGAGATGCCCACCTTTCCTGAAGGTAGGCGCAAAAACAAAGGAGGGAGCGGAGGTGGGAGATACCTCCAGCCAGAGGGGCTCTCTCTCTCTCTCTCTTGGTCCCAATGGCTGAAGAGAAAGTCAGGAGAAGAGGCGACTTTTGGTGCACACGCTGGGGTCTTCAGACACACCTCTGGACCCATGGCGGTGCCACCCCCCACCTGTGGATTGGGGAGAGGAGAGGAGGCAGGTGGAGCGCCAGGGGATCGGGAAAGGGAGCCGGTCAGCGAGGCAAGAAAGCTGAGGCTCCCCGCGACTAATAGGGCTGTTGTGAGCTGAGGGGGTGCTCTCAAGTGGCCTTCGAGGAGCATTTACAGAGGTGCATCTGCACCCCTGGCAAAAAAAAGTGTTCTGTGACCGCTTACTTTGCGTAATGGACAAGCCGCCCCTGCCTACAATCAAAGAGCATTCTGAACCCCACCAATGATAGAACTGAGCCAAACTTCCTACACAGAACCCCCATGCTCAACAGAAAATACTGTATTTTCTGATGGTCTTCCGCGACCCCTCTGACACCCCCTTGCGACCCCCATAGGGGTCCCGACAACAGGTTGAGAAACACTGCTCTAGAACATGCCCATACTTTTTGGGCTGTATGGCCATGTTTTGGAAGCATTCTCTCCTGATGATTCGCTAGGTTGAAGGGGGGAAAGGAAAGGGCCTGAGGCTGTTAGGAATGGTGGGAGTTGAAGTCCAAAGGAGGGAGAGCCAAAGTTGGCCCTTGCTTGCCTCTTTCGCTCTTGGCTCTTTGCTCACCTGGATGTCTTCGAGGGCGGGGTGTGCCAAGGCGTGGAGGCCCAAGGGCCCCTCTCCCAGCCCGTGGGGCCCTTCTCCCAAGCCGTGGAGCAGCCCCCGTGGGCCTGAGGAAGAGCCCCCTCCTCCTCCTCCTCTGGGATCCAAACCCAGCGCCCGGTGCGTTTGAGAGAGCAGCCCCGCAGCTGCGGCGGCGGCCACAGCGGCTTCCTCTTGCCGGGCCCGTTGCGCATGCCAGGCTCCTTGCTGCTGGTGGTGATGGTGGTGGTGGTGGTGCTGGTGGAGCGGGTTGAGCGCGGCGTAAGGGTCGCCCAAGTGCGGGTAGCCTCCTCCGCCTGCTCCTCCGCCTCCTCCTCCGCCGGGGTTATCCTGGGACTGCGAAGCGTAAGGCAGCGGGGGCTGCGGGTAGGGCGGCGGGAAGTACGGCGGCTGGAAGTCCGAGGCCGGCGTGTGGCACAAGGGCGGCGGAGGAGGAGGAGGAGGAGGGGGCGCCGAGGAATACGCCGCCGCTGCAGCAGCCGCAGCCGCCGCCGCTGCTTGGTTCAAGGAGGAGAGCTGCGAGAGGCGCCCGCCGCCCGGGGACGAGCCGCCCAGGCCGTCGGAACGGTCCTAAAGAAGAGGAGGAAGAAGAAGGAAGAGCATCAGAATAGGCGCATCGCAATCAGATGAATAGCAGTCAGAACAACAATGACAGTAGAAGTCAAAGTGTTGAGGAGAGAAGGGAGAAACAGGGAGAAGCGCCAGGAACAGCAACAACAAAGTAATAATAATAATAATAGCAATAAGAATAGCTGCAAAGGTGTTGGAGAGAGAAGGGAGAGGCAGGGAGAAACACCAGGATCAACAACAACAACACTATGGTAATAATAATAATAATAATAATAATAATAGTAATAATAGCAATAATAATAGGTGTAATGGTTTTGGAGAGAGAAGGCAGAGGCAGGGAGAAACTCCAGGATCAACAAGAACAACACTATAGTAATAATAATAATAATAATAATAATAATAATAATAATAATAATAATAGCTGTAATTGTGTTGGAGAGAGAAGGGAGACGCAGGGTGAAGCGCCAGGAACAGCAACAACAAAGTAATAGTAATAATAATAGCAATAATAATAGCTGTAATGGTTTTGGAGAGAGAAGGCAGAGGCAGGGAGAAACACCAGGATCAACAACAACACTATAGTAGTAGTAGTAGTAATAATAATAATAATAATAATAATAATAATAATAATAATAATAGCTGTAATGGTGTTGGAGAGAGAAGGCAGAAGCAGGGAGAAACACCAGGATCAACAACAACACTATGGTAGTAATAATAATAATAATAATAATAATAATAATAGCAATAATAATAGCTGCAAAGGTGTTGGAGAGAGAAGGCAGAGGCAGGGAGAAGCCCCAGGAACAACAATATATTAGTAGTAGTAGTAGTAGTAGTAATAATAATAATAATAATAATAACAACAACAACAACAGTTGTAATGATATTGAAGGGAGACGCAGGGAGAAGCCCCAAGAACAACAATATAGTAATAATAATAATAATAATAATAATAATAATAATAATAATAATAATAGCGGTAATGGGTTTGGAGAGAGAAAGGAGACGCAGGGTGAAGCGCCAGGTACAATATAATAATAATAATAATAATAATAATAATAATAATAATAACAACAACAGCTATAATGATATTGAAGGGAGACGCAGGGTGAAGCGCCAGGAACAACAACAATATAGTAATAATAATAATAATAATAATAATAATAATAATAATAATAATAATAATGGTGTTGAAGGGAGAAGGGAGCTGGGGAAGTGTTCGACTTGTGATTTTGTGATACGAAATCCAGCATATCGATCTCGTTTGCTGTGACATACTGTGCTTTTGTGTCGATAATAATAATTATCTAAAGCTTTCATGGCCAGAATCGCTGGGTTGTTGTAAGTTTTTCGGGCTGTATGGCCATGTTCTAGAAGCGTTCTCTCCTGACGTTTCGCCTGCATCCTCAGAGGTTCCTAGTTTCCAAAAGACCTCGCAACCTCTAAGGATTCCTGCCATGGATGCAGGCGAAACGTCAGGAGAGAACGCTTCTAGAACACGGCCATATAGCCCGAAAAACCTACAACCACCCAATAATAATAAAATAGCTGTAATGGTGTTGAAGACAAGAGAGAGACAACAACAACAACAACAACAACAACAACAACAACAACAACATAGTAGTAATAATGATAATAATAATAAGAGTCATTGTGTTGGAGAGAGAAGGGAAAACGCAGGAAGAAACGTCACCAGGGGCTATAACAACATAGTAGTAGTAATAATAATAATAACAGCTGTAATGGTATAGAAGGGAGAAGCAGGGAGAAGCGTTACCAGGGACTATAACAACAATATAGTAATAATAATAATAATAATAATAATAATAATAGAGTCATAGCGTTGGAGAGAGAAGGGAGACGCAGGGAGAAGCGCTAGGGACAATAACAACAATATAGTAGTAGTAGTAGTAGTAGTAGTAATAATAATAATAATAATAATAATAATAGCTGCAATTGGGTTGGAGAGAGAAGGGAGACACAGGGAGAAGCGCTAGGGACAATAACAACAATATAGTAGTAGTAGTAGTAGTAGTAGTAGTAATAATAATAATAATAATAGCTGCAATTGGGTTGAAGAGAGAAGGGAGACACAGGGAGAAGCGCTAGGGACAATAACAACAATATAGTAGTAGTAGTAATAATAATAATAATAATAATAATAATAATAATAGCTCCAATTGGGTTGAAGAGAGGAGGGAGACGCAGGGAGAGGCGTCACCAGGGAGCGATAAGAACATGATGATAATACGCGCATTTGAATAATAATAATAATAATAATAATAATAATAATAATAATATCAATTATAGTAGAAGTCATGGTGTTGGAGAGAGAAGGGAGAAGAGTTAGGGACTATAAAGACAACAGCAATGACAACAATATTATAGTAATAGTAATAATAGCTGTAATGGTGTTGAAAAGAGAAAGGAGTAGGGAGAGGAGTCACTACAGAGCTATAAGAGCACAATGATGATCACAATAACAATAATAAGACACGTATTTGAATAATAATAATAATAATAATAATAATAATAATAATAATAATAATAGCAACAACGATAATAGAAGTCAGGGGTTGGAGAGAGAAGGGAGATACTGGGAGAAGCGTCACCAGAGAGCCATAAGAATATAATGATAACAATAACAATAATATGCACATTTGAATAATAATTATAATTATGATAATAGAAGTAATGGAGTCTTAGAGGGAAGAGAGGCGAAGGGAGAAGTGTCACCAAGGAGCCATAAGAACATGATAAATAATAATAATAATATGTGTATTTTAATAATAATAATTATAGAAGTCATGGGGTTGAAGAGAGAAGGGAAACGCAGGGGGAACCACCAGGGACTGTAACAATAACAATAATAATAATATAATAATAATAATAATAATAATAATAATAATAATAATAATAATAATAATGGTGTTGAAGAGAAAAGAGAGACCAGGGAGTCATAAGAACAGCATTATCACCATGGTAAGTGCATTGGAATAATGACAGGAATAGTATGATACAAATAATAATAATAATAATAATAATAATAATAATAATAATAATAATAATAATAATGGTGTTGAAGAGAAAAGAGAGACCAGGGAGTCATAAGAACAGCATTATCATCATGAAAAGTGGATTGGAATAATGACAGTAATAGTATAGTACTAATAATAATAATAATAATAGTAATGGTGTGGAAGAGAGAAGGGAGACACAGGGAGAAGCGTCAACAGGGAGCCAAGGGCCATAAGAACATCAGGATAATAATTATAATACACGCATTTTATTAATAATAACAATAGTAATAACAATAATCGTAATAATAGGAGTAGCTGTAGTAGTAATAACAGTCATTGGGTTGAAGACAGAAGGGAAAGACAGAGAGAAAGGTCACCCATCAAGACAGGGAGAGAAGCACCACGCAGAAAACTAATAATAATAGTAATAATAATATCAGCAACCCTCCCATCGAGACAGGGAGAGAAGAACCATGCAGAAAACTAATAATAATAGTAATAATAATATCAGCAACCTTCCCATCGAGACAGGGAGAGAAGAACCATGCAGAAAACTAATAATAATAGTAGTAATAATAATATCAGCAACCCTCCCATCGAGACAGGAAGAGAAGAACCATGCAGAAAACTAATAATAATAGTAATAATAATATCAGCAACCCTCCCATCCAGACAGGGAGAGAAGAACCATGCAGAAAACTAATAATAATAGTAATAATAATATCAGCAACCCTCCCATCCAGACAGGGAGAGAAGCAGCAGGCAGAAAACTAATAATAATAGTAATAATAGTAATGATATCAAGAATAATACATCATATCAGCACAGTGCGAACAGGGAGCTCATTTTCCTTGACACACGTAATAATAATAATAATAATAATAATAGTCTTTATTTATATTCCGCTCTATCTCTCCAGAGGTGTATGAATTCCCCCATTTTCACCTACTTATAATAATAATTATAATCAAATAATATTATAATAAAGATAACAATAATAATAACAATATCTCTAATCTCTTAGGCCCTTGGGAAGCATCAGATATGAATCCCAAACACTTGGACCTAACTGTTGTTATGTACACAAACAATGTAAAACAAACAATAACTATTTATTGTTATGATGATGGTAGTAGTGGTGATAGCCGAAGGCTCCTGGGGTTTCTAAGGAAGAGGAACCCTGGGAAGGCTTCCCAAAGGCTATCCAGTGCCATAAAAGTGAAGACACAACCCGATCCCTCCCCATAGATGGCCGTCCAGCCTTTTTTAGAGCAGCAGAAAACAAACTTTGCGCCTTCCTCCTCTTCCTCAACCTGGTATTTCAACCTGGCTACCCTTCTCTCAGCCTTCTCTTCTCCAAAGCTAAACAGATCCAGGCCTGCTAGGGTTCTTGGAGACAATAAATATTATATTTCCTTGCTTCCCTGATTTTTCCAACTTCTGTAGATTACTGTAAGAATAATAATTAATAATAATACCTTTAGAGTGAAGCTTAAACAATAAGGAAGGCAACAATCAGGGGAAAGCTAATAATAATAATAAATTAATATAATAATAATATAATAATAAATTAATATAATAATAATTTATTATTATTATTATTATTATTATTATTATTATTACTATTATTAGCTTGCCCCCTATTATTGCTTTCCTTATTGTTTAAGCTTCACTCTAAAGGTGTTATTATTATTTGCTTGCCTCTCTGACTGGGAAAAGGGGGAATCTAACATTATTAGCACCAAACAAAGTTGCTTCCCTGGTTGTTTAGACTTCAGTCTAAATATATTATCATTATTATTAGTTTGCCCCTCAGTTGTTCCTTCCCTCATTGTTTAGGCTTCGGTCAAAAGATCTTTATAACAACAATAACAAGCCAGTAAAGGTGGTCCCAGTGGTGATCGGCACACTGGGTGCAGTGCCTAAAGACCTTGGCCTGCACTTAAACACAATCGAACTGCCACCTTACTCGGATCTGCA